CAATTTTCAAAATTTTCCTTTAACAAGTATAACTAGAAAAATATAAAGACAATATTTGTCATCAGGACAGCTGTTGGATTCCACAATCTTAGCTTACAGAAATATGCCCAGCTCTCAGAACCCTAGAATAATAACTAGTAAGAGTCTTTAAATTAGCAGGCCCATTTTACAGATCAGATAACCTGAAACTAGGCAAAACTGAATTGCCAAAGACCACCTGACAAGGCAGTGGCCAAGCACAGAATTCCCAAAAGTACAGGATGTTGATAGAAGGAAGGAACATATCTCCTGTCTTTTATACAGAACCCAATCAAGGGGTTTCTCCCCCAAATCGTGCAAAGTCATAGCTAAAAGAAACCATAAGGACCTTTAGCCTAATGATCTATCTCATGATACACATCAGGAAATAAACCCTGGAAAAAGTAATCTACCCAAGGTTACACAGCAAGGGGCAGTTTAAAAAATTTTTTTCATAGTTGTAGATGGAAATAATACCTTTGTTTTATTTGTTTTTATTTGGGGCTAAAGATTGAACCCAGGGCCTCACAGGTGCTAGGCAAGTGCTCTACCACTAAGCTACAGCCTCAGCCCCTTAAGTGGCAATTTTGAAAAAAACACCTATCATTTCAAGGTTCTTTCCTAAAATTTATAAAGAAGTTCTCTGAATGGACGTCTAGGATTTATAAGTATTGAAGATGCATATATTTGTTATCATTTTTGAAATATAATATTTGCAAACACTTTCTCTATTCTGTGAATTGTCTTTTCACTTCTTGAAGTGTAAAACTTTTAAATTATGATGAAGCTCAATATAAAAGTTCTCTGAATGGAAGTCCAGGGTTTATAAATATTGAAGATGCATATATTTGCATCTTCAATATATTGCTCAATATATTCTTTCTTTTGTTGTTTGGGTTGTTAAAAAATAATTTATTGGGAGAAAATCTTTGCCACCTGCACCTCAGATAGGGCATAAATTTCCAGAATATAAAGAACTCAAAAAACTTAAAATTTTAAAAAAAAAAACCCAATCAATAAATGAGCAAAGGAACTGAACAGACACTTCACAGAAGAATAAATACAATCAGTCAACAAATATATGAAAAAATGTTCAACATCTCTAGCAATTAGAGAAATGTAAATTAAAACTACACTGAGATTTCACCTCACTATAGTCAGAATGGCAATTATCAAGAATATAAGTAACAATAAATGTTGGTGAGGATGTAAGGAAAAGGGTTCACTCATATATTGTTGGTGGGATTGCAAACTGGTACAACCACTATAAAAAGCAATATGGAGATTCCTCAAAAAACTAGGAATAGAACCATCATTTGACCCAGTTATCATTTACATCATTTATTATACATCATTTGTATACATCCAAAAGAGTATCCAAAATCAGCATATTACAGTGACACAGCCACATCAATGTTTATAGCAGCACAATTTACAATAGCTAAGCTATAGAACCAAGCCAGGTACCCTTCAACAGATAAATGGATAAAGAAAATGTGGTATACAATGGAGTATTACTCAGCCATTAAAAAGAATGACTTTATGACATTTGCCAGTAAATGATGGATCTGGAGACTACCATGCTAAGTGAAATAAGCCAATCCCCAAAACTCAAATGTTTTTGCTAATATGTAGAAGCTAAATCACAATAAAGGGGGTGGGGCAAAAAGAAAAGTTTAATAGGTTAGAAAAAGGAGAATTAAGGAAAGGGAGGAGGGCTAGAATAGAAAAGACAGTGGAATGAATCTGACATAATTTTCCTATGTACATATATGAATACATCACAGTGAATCCCACCATCATGTATATCCACAAGAGCAGGGTGCTAGTTAGAATAAGATATATTTCATGCTTGTATAATTATATCAAAATGGATTGATTCTACTGTCACATATAACTAAAAAGAACCAGTAAAATAAAATAATGATAATAATAATTTATTAGCCAGGCGCAGTGGTGCATACCTGTAATCCCAGCAGCTTGGGAGGCTGAGGCAGGAGGATCTCAAGTTCAAAGCCAGCCTCAGCAACTTAACAAGGCCCTAAGCAACTTAGCTAGACCCTGTCTCAAAATAAAAAACAAAATAGGGCTGGGGACGTGGCTCAGTGGTTGAATGCCCCTGGGTTCAATCCATGGTACCAAAATAATAATAATGCTAATTATTATTATTTATTGAGGCAATGTTCATATAATACAAAATTAACTGTTTTAAAGTGAACAATCCAGTGGCATAGAGTACATACATGATGTCTAGTTCTAAAACATTTCTATTCTCCAAAGTAAAATTTCTTATCCATTAATCAGTTTCTCCCTATTCTCCTCTCTCTCCTGTCAACCATCAAGCTGAGTTTATGTCTATGGCTTTATCTATGGTGGGTATTTCAAATAAATGGAAACATACATGATCTTTTGTCAGCTTCTTTTACTTAGCATAATGTTTTTCAGGTTTCTCTATACTACAGCATATATAACTTCACTCCATTTTATGACTGAATAATACTCCATTGCATGTATGTAACAATTGTATTGATCCACTCATCTGCTAATGGTCATTTGAGCTGTTTACATCTTTTGGCTCTTGTGACTAATGCTGCTATGAACACATGCATACATACACTTGTTTGACTATCTATTTCAATTGTTTGGCTAATATATCTAGGCACGCAATTGCTGGATTATATGGTAACTCCATGTTTAATTTTTTAGAAACCACTAGACTTTTTTTCACAGTAACTGAACCATCTTACATTCTTACGAGAAATTAAGTTTCTATTTATCATATTCTCACCAACACTTGTTATTTGCCTTATTTAAAAAAAACAACTACATTATTATGGTTATCATAATAGCTATCCCAGCTAGTACGAAGTCTATTCTTAGCTTTAGTACCTCTGTTCTGCTTATTTAAGGAATAATTTTCCTGCTGATTTCTGAATTCCCTTAGGTTAGCTCATACACAGCATATAGGATATATGAAATAAGCCTAGGATAAAAATATTACACCCTACTTATCAGTGTAACCTGATCCACTGGGGTCCCTCTTGCTGACTCTGATCTCCTGGACCCTGTACCATGGATCCAGGATCCTGGTTCCCATGCTAGCTCATCTTTCCAGATGGAAACCTTGCCTTCTGTAACCCGCAGTTTCTGATGTACCCTTTAAATCTTCAAAGCATAAAATTCCACTTTGATATAGAACATATAACAGCTTGATACTATATCTTAGAAGACTAAGGAATAATTATACCCTTCTGGTAAAAGTATTCTTGCTAGTGTACATACAAAGAGGAGTGTACACTGTTAATGATTAGAGTTTAATAAGGCCACTTCCCACCTTTCAAGACTCAGCTCAAGAAATACATTCCCTAGGGGCTAGGATTGTGGCTCAGCAGTAGAGCGCTCACCTAGCATGCATGGGGCCCTGGGTTTGATCCCTGGTTTATGTCCAACTACAACTAAAAAACAAATATTAAAAAAAAAGAATTACATACCTCATAAAGCTTCCTGAACTCCAAAAGGAAGCTCTTCCCTATTTTGTACTCTTGGCTGAATTCTAGAAAGACTGACATAATAGCTTTAACATTTACTACATTTGTCGACCATTTACTCTATCCATTGAAAAGCCTATCTCCATTTAGATGGAACTGCTGCTGGAACCTGTATAACAAGGAACCCTGTCATTTATAATGATAAACAATGAGTACTCATCAAAGGTTGCTGAATGAATGAAAAGCTATTGCTTATTACAGAGGGTATGCCTCACATAAAGAATATAACCATTCACTTATCATTTATTATCTATAAGTAGTAAGTAAAATGTGTCCTAGAACCCCCACTTAAAAAAAATAATTAGGCAGAAAAGAGAGTGGAAACAGTTTTCTCCCAGATAGCTCTGTCTTATATTTTCAAAAAGTACAGATGCACCTGTATTGACAGATCAGCTTAGGCAACTGCCAAGCCACATACATGGAAAAGGAAATGTTGTATTGTCTCTGACCCTTTCCGCCAGATCCTTCTTTAGATTGGGTTCTGGTTCTACAGCATTCTGCTGCTGTATCCTCAACTAATGAGGGCAGCTTTCAAAGGGCAGCGGGTGGGCTCTATGAATCTACATGGCCAATACTAATTTCCTAAAAAATCTCACTACTTCTATTCTCATTTGGTTCATAAAATAAGAAAAATGATGGCAGGGTTGGCCATTCCCACCATGCAGATCTCCAGGGACTGAACTACATAATATTCTCAGCCCCTGGCTAAAGAGACAACTCTTTCTTGGATCTAAAGCATGTCTCTACTGCTTCAGTGAAAGCTCATTTAGTGTTCCTTGGTCATTCAAGGACGCAAAAATGATCAGTAATCAGCTTCTTCACTCTGCACATGTACATATCTCAATATAACAGCTAAATGACATTTAGCCCATTATGTGTTGCTATCCCTGATCATACCTTTTATATTTTATCTTTTGTAAATAACTCTTGCTCAAGTTATTTTCTCCATCTAGATGTCCTCTTCTGTCACATCCATGGAATAAAGTTTACACACTACCTCTTCCATGGGATACCTTCTATACCCTCCTCTGGGCCTCAGAAGCATGATCTTTCTGAATACTAGAATACCAGAATACTCTTTCTTTTCTTTCTTTCAGGTGCAAGGGCTTCATACATGCTAGGCACATGCTCAACCACTGAACTACATCATGTCCTAGAAGTCTCATTTTATCCCTTCAGGGCAGAAAATGATTCAACCAGGTCATCCTACAGAGTCCAGCACAGCACTGGAACAAAGCAGAAATCTAAAATATGTAATAAATGGAGTTTGATATCTGGCTAGACTAAAATACAAAACTGTTTCATATCTCAATATCAATGAAAATAGTGCAGATACTGCATTAGAAGTGTGCCCAGGAGACCCAGGACCTCAGCCTAGCTACTCTGTCAGATTTGGGTTTGCACAGCAGCAGCCCTTCTCTACACAAGACTCACAGAGAGGAGGCCCAAAGAGCACTGTGTCCAAGGCCTTCAGCTGCAGCTTCTGCCGATGGCTCCGATCTGTCATCTTCAGCACAGTTCCTGTCATGGTGGTATTGGTTACAGCTAGCCTGTTGAGGCAAAAATTAATGGGTCAGTTCCCTGACAACAAAGGCAGGAAGGGTCCAGAAAGATTACCCACCTCCTCCAGGAACACTTTAAGCTCTTGGTGATTGCTCCCTCTGCATTCTAGGACACAGCAGGGTCTCAGCAAGGAGGGATAAAAAACATTCACTAGGAATTTGTTCACCCTCTCCCCATATCCACCATCCATAAGTAACCCACCCTCTAAGGGTTACCCATTAAAATTTTCACAGGTGTAAAATTTTATAAATTTATAAACTTTATAAATTTTTTGTTGTTTCTCCTTCCAGAAATTAACCTCTATATAATCTGCCCCACTTCCTACCTCTTGTAAATGCATTCTCCTGTCCAGCCCAGGTCAAAATGCCACACTGCATGACCCAGTGGATTAGAGGGACTTCTGAATTATACTAATCCTAACCAATTGTCATCATATGTAAACCTGATGATGACATAATTTGAGTTAGTCTTATTGGCATGTATTTGAGTCACTGCAATACAATTTACTTCGGATCAGATTTCTGTAATTTTTATGACCTTCGACCACACTGTCAATGATAACTTTAATAAGAAAGAGTCTATAAAAAAGAAAATAGCCTAGGGGGGAAAATGGACTAGGACTGGGGTTGTGGCTCAGTGGTAGAGTACTTGCCTACCACATGTGAGGCACTGGATTCGATGCTCAGCACCACATAAAAATAAAATAAATAAAATAGAGGTATTATGTACATCTACAACTAAAAAATATATATTTAAAAATTTTTAAAAAACTGGACTTCATTTTTCTCGGTTGGAACACAGTAGGTATAGGAGGAAAGAGTCTAAGTCATCTAGGTCATAAGAAAAACATTTAATACTATACTACTGTCTTGGTGGTATTGGTTACAGCTAGCCTGTTAAGGCAAAAAGTATAGGTCAGTTCTCTGACTCAAAGATACTCTCTGTAAGTGGTGCCTTTATCTGATACACAGCTTTATTTCCCCAGACAGAAGAAAAACTTCTGACTTCACAGTAAGTGGTTTATACTCCTGTCTTAGCATTCAGGAGCAAGCTACTTCCTCTCTGATCTTGGAAAGTAATCAAGCCCACATACAAGAAAGGCAGTGAGGCACTGTGATCAGGGCATCAGGAGATCTGGCTTTTAGTCCCAGCTCTACCAGTGATTCACTTGTCTGCTAGGTCTCTCCTCTAGGACCTCAGTTTCCTTCTTTGTAAAACTTATGTAAAATCAGATGCTTCTTACAAGCCTGGAAGTTCTTAAGGCTCCTCTTTGAATCATTTCTGTCAGGTGTAACGGACTTAGTATCTGACTAAGCAAAATAAATATTACCATATTTTCTACAGTCTATTTCCCAAGGATACCTAAGAACTGGCATGTTCTCTACTTCTAAACAATAGAAAAGAAAAAGGAGCTAGCATTTACCAAACAATTACTATGTATCTTGTATTATTCTGGCATTTTATATACAATTCCTCAATCAGTCCTTCAACAACCTTAAGAAATCAGTTCTAGCTGGGTGCAGAGATGCACATCTGTAATACCAGCAACTTGGAAGGCAGGAGAATAAAGAGCTCAAAGCCAGCCTCAGCAACTTGTCAAGGCCCTAAACAACCTAGTGAAACCCTGTCTCTAAATAAAATACAAAAAAAAAGGGCTGGGGATA